TGATCATACTCACAGGAAAATGCTGCATAAATTCCAATAATATCTCAATGTCATCATCATTTCTCTCAGATGGGTCTTTCTCCAAGCATTCCCTGACGGCATCTCGTATTGGCATAGACTGGAAAATGAAGCGGACAAAGGAAATTAAACAATTGTTCTTGCTCATCTTGGTTTGTTTCTAAGAAAAATGACATCCAAGAAAACGTTGGTACATGTAGCTCCTTGTTTTCTTCTATGGAAAATAGAAAGAGAGAGTTCTAAATATATGTTCCAGTCTTCTAAAAGAATATTATCAGGGTGCCTTGGTATCCTGTGTTCTCTCCTGAAAACTACTCCTTGTTCAAAATTGTATATGTTCCATCAAATTACAATCATATCAAGATACACAACAGGAAGTTCAGTTTTTTCTCTCTATAGAATTTCCTTTGAATTCCTTTTAAATTTTCTAGTTTTTTCCTGCTCTTCTGTACATGACCTCCTGTATGTTTTGAAAAAATTCTGAAGTAAAGGATCAATGAAAATCAATAATTAATTGACATCAAACAAATCTTGAATTCTGGTACAAAATATACCATGAAATATCTTCTGAAAACCACTCTTTATCTGAGAAATAACCGAAATCCTTTGAGAATAAAATCTATATTTAATAACATGTCCACATTATTGATGTTAGGTTCACAGTAAAACTGGGACCATTCTTAAATATCTGTTCCCTGGCATTCTCCTAAATTTCATATTCTTATTTCTTCCCCTTCACAGGGATAATCCAATTCAGTACCAGTGATCAAAATGTATTAAATAAAATAACATGAAATCCATTAAATTGCTATGACATGAGCACTGAATTTCAACAACAAGAACCTATAGAAAATGCTTTTCTTGGACAAATGAATATGATCACAGCTCTCTTCACGAATATTATCAGCTCAACTATATGATTCATTAGTCAAATGATGGGATCAGTTTTTGCCCACAGTAAAATTTGATTTCATTATAAAACTCCTTTTCCAAGTAATGTATCACATGGTAGCATAAGTTGAATGAATGTAATTCTCTTCTGATACAAAAAGCCACTATATCCAGCCTAAAAATTCTCCTGTGTTCTAAAAAGGAAGGGTTACCACAAGCTGTTCAACTTATTGGTCCACAGTGAATATTTCTTGATATTCCTAAGACCTAGCTTTTGCAGATAGGTGTTAAAATCTCACTGATCCATTCACCTTGCTATATTCATCAAAAGATCCCTTCAAACAAACTGATCACTTGACTGTCAGTTCAAATATAACAACAAATCCTGGGACATGTGCATCTACTTCTTATGATAGCAAAAAATCCATATGCTATAATCAAATTTAACCAGCCAAACTTCAATTTTTTTAAGAATTACATCCCAGGTAGTGCTGCTCCGGCCATAATGGCAAAATTCATGAAGTTCCTTTAAATCTGAGAGGATCCTTTGTGTGATGATGTATGTATGACGCTGGAGTCACAAGTCAACAAATAAGCTCTGATCTGGCAGTCACAGTTTATCTCAACATAAAAAAATGGACGCGCTGGACATCTGCATCCACTTACATGGTTGTCCAATCAAATCTGATCACCAGGGACCCCAGGCGGGAATACCAGGGACCCCATAGAGAAATACCCTCATTTTTCTGTCCAATTTCCTTGATTGATTATCTGTTTTCCTGCCTCTACCTGCCGACAAATAGACTACCTGATGATTAATTTTGTTGTTGTTTTGCTCACTATATTGACCAGGCTTGTGAAGTCTATCATATTCAATTCCCATCAAAACAAACAGATTAACTCTTCCCACTGTGACATTTGAGAGGTTTATTTTCCTGACCATGTTATTCTCTGGTCAATCTACAATTCATTAGGCCTGTTAACCCACCCACTGGTACTGCAGGTGCCTCTTAACTGCTTGGCCAAAGCTACAGATTGGTCAGATAAAAGTGACCATCACTAATGGCTATCACTTATGGTACAATTCTCTGGGTATTGTAAAAGAGAACATCCAACATGTGATGTCAACAATGGGCTAATAGCACCAGAGAACAACAGAAAGATGATGGATGACAGATGTCACTGACTGTCACCTTATCTGCTAAAAGCCAGTCCACCTTAACTCAGCCCTCCATATCTCACAGTGATGGTTTATTAAATCCAGGTAGTTGTATTTCCAGGTGTGTCATATCTCCAGCCTCCAGGTAATACATAGCCATGTTCACACACAATGAAGTAGACCATAGGCCCTGGTCCTCTCTAACTGGTACAGCCTGAGCTTAGACAACAGACTACAGTACTTCAACTAGCAGTCAGTAAATCATTAAGTATGTTCCATGTTCCTATGAGGTCCTATGTATCTGAAGTATCATACATCACTGTATGTGTCTTATATATGCCCTCTGTCTAGGGGTGCTTCATTCAAGGGTTCTTGTTGCCATGTAGCACACTAGTAGAATATCTGGATGGACAATTCATGCAGAGGATTCAGTGGAGTCCAACCAACAGGCACAGGTTGTGTTTAGACAGTACAGGTACGAACTTAACATTTCAAGTCCAATGAATACTGCCCTTGATACAGTTGGTCTAACCCTATCTTACAGCAATGATCTTGGTGAAGTTATTGGATGAGATTAACTGAAAAAAACTGCTGTGAAAAAAATGTTTTGACACTCAAACACCAGAATGCTTGTGTATCAGTGCTCACAATTCTCTGTTAGTATGTGATATCCATGAGAATTAATCCCTATCTTCTGAACTAACAACAAAGATGTCACATTTCTCATCCTAGTCATCCCTGGCTGTCTTCTTTGCTGTTGTTTGTACATGTTAATATCTCCAGATTCAGCTATCTAGCAGATAAACTGGTTTTGAAGACACTCACTAACATGCAATATATGGTAATGGACCTTGGTGAACTGTAAACAGGTCTTACAAAATGAAAGTCTAATCCCCAGTGACTCAATCTCTTCTCAGGTCCATCTACAGTCGTAATTCTTTTTTTTTTAGTTATTATATCGGGGACTTATCACTGGTTCTTTGCCATGAAAATCAAGTAATAAATTGAAAAAACAAGAGCAAATTTTCAATACTTTTAGTCAATAAAGTGGATGCAAAACACCCCAGTAATGTCTACGTGACAACCTTCCATCCAAACCAACATAAACATCTCTTATTCTCTAGTACACCATTAAAAGTTAATGTTCATTCTCTGTATGTTGTTAAGTCTGTGTAAAAAATATGACATCCCAACAGGGGATTACAGCCTATCAAACCATCTAATATGTCCAACAAAAAGTTTACTCAATTCTCTCAGAAGACCCCATGTGTCTGCTATCTCTCCACTACATTACCCAGTCCCAATGTGTTTTTGATTTGGTCCAAATAAACTTGTTATACTATCCTAAATTGCCCGGGCATCCAATACATAAAGTAAGTCCCTTGTCAAGGCATTTGAGATCTCTTATTTTCCTAAAAGAAAACAACTTACTGTGTCCCATTGATGCAGATGTATTGAGTGTCCTTATGAGTGAATAATACAGACAGAAAATTTAAACAATTCCTCACTTTGATTACATTTTTTCTTACATTTTTTTCAACAAATTACTTCCAATGATTCTAGCAATAAATACTTGAGGCTATTGAGCACTTTTCATGATTAGTCAGGATTTTAGTGATTGAGAAGTCAAAATTTATATAAGCCCCGAACCTGAATCTAAATTTTCCAACTCTTTTTGAACTGCAAAAGTTAATCAAGCAAGTAATCCTTTCTTTGCATATTAACACATAGCTTACTAATGCTGTTTGATCCATGTACTTTTTCCTCTTCAGCAACAACACCTACACATTATATCAAAGTAAATGATTAGATTTATGAATTTTCTATGACAGCAAACTGTAATAATATTTTCTACTTCCCTTTAATCTTCCTCAATCAAAGAGGATCTTAATAAAACAGAAAAAAAAAATCCATCCTGTTTACAGCAAACTTAATCAGACCATTCATCTCATGTTTCTATCAATTCTTAAATATGCACTTTTTCTATCTTCACATTTCCTCCAATTTCCTACGACATTTGTCTGACCAGGAAAACACTTATGACTACAAAGATATTTAGGATTATTGATTTATGTAGACTGCACGTGTCTGTGCTTTCTCTAGTGTAAGTCCCCGTGGGTAAGCTTCTGCCCCCTAGGGATTGGATCAATTTGGTCCCTAGGGAGTACTGTATCATCACATTATGTCTACTGCATGTTTGTAACTTTTTTTACGAAAACAAGGATGTACCGAAAGATTCGTTTAATTTTTCCCAACAAGTCTTCTCTAATTTCCACTGCCTTTAAAAGTCAGATAAGTAGCTGTCCGTCAAATGTTCAAAATCTCAATCAACCATAAAGTAATCATTTGATGTGCAATTGATTTAAAGAACATATTGACGAAGAGATCCATTTAATTCTGCTTTTCATTATCACCAAAAAGGATGAATTATATATTCATTGCATAATCAACAAGATTTACATCTTAATTTGTTGTAAATTAATTTAACCATTAAAGCAGATTTTAATAAAAATCCAAATCTAAAACAAAATATCAGCAGTAAAAATGATATAAAATAAATATGAATTTT